AAATACCTGTCATTTAATACTTATTTAATACTAGAGAGCTGATAATCAGCTAAGTACAGTTGATTTCACTTTTTCCTTAGTAGATGAATCCCTTGGAAAAATTATTATACTGAATGTTAAAAATAAAATAACTAGAGTAGCAATCTTCTTTCCTCCAGTGGAGGTAACTGAGCCCATCATACTCCATAGAGCCCCACAAAGCATAAACTAAAGTCAAAAGACTACAGATGTAAGTGATCCTTTCCTGTCCAAGATCGATTATTTTTATTTAGTCAACACAAGCCAGTAGAACAGAGTTCCATTGCCAGAACAGAGTTCCATTGCCAAAACAGATTGAAAGATTAAATTGCTCTCGTTGACCATGTCTAGGTTGGTCACAAATGTAAAGTTTGGGAATCAGGAGATTTGGGTATGATGGGCCAATCGAACCTTCTAAATGTTGAGGTCCAGTGGGGCTCCACCATGTCCATTGAGACCTATTCTGGGATCTGCGTCAGTGTACCCAAGCAGTAGGTGTAATTGAAGCCATAGTTCAATTTGTCAAGACCAGATGAGCCTGTGATTTAGGGCAACATCTCCCTGGCTTCCTGTGTGCAAATCTATCACCCATGAGCCCAAGGAAGATATGGCCTGGGGTCATTGACTTTCTACACAAGGTTTTAATGAAAATGGAGCACTTGTCAATTCCCAGTTACCAAGCTCCTCTCCCTTTTTCAGAGAAATGTCAGCTTGTGTGCCAGGGTGGGACTAGGGAAAGACACTGTATGTACACTCAGAGGATCTGTGTTCTGGTCTGGATGCTGCTGAGTACTTGATTGTATAAAACAGACAGAAGCAAGTTTTTAAATCACTGTTGATATCAGTTTCCTCTTCTGTAAAATATGAGTAATAAAACCTCTTTAGGCTTTTGTGAGCATCAAATGAGTTGAAGGTTTGTAATGTATCTACCATTATGTCAGGCACACAGGAAAAACTCAATAAATGATTAACTCCTTTAATACTATTATTATCACCATTAGTTAAGTGGCTATGTCATTTGCTCTGTTTGCATCCTAACTAGAAAATGGAGATAATAATAGCCCTATCTCTTCCTTTAAATGATTTTGAAGATTAAATGAAATATGGATTAAAAGCACTTTTTAAACCTTGATGATAATATGCCAGACATTTAATACATAAAACAATAGAAATTCCGGTCCTTAAGGGTTTTGCATTCCAATGGGGAAGCACAGATGATAATATAATAAATAAATTATATACTCTATTTGAAAGTTACAAGTGCTGGGGGTAGGGAGACAGATCAAAGTAAGGGAGCACATGAGTGCTGGCTAAGGGAATTATGATTTATTTTAAATAGAGTAGTCAAGTGTGCCTCTGATAAAGTGACATTCGAGTAAAGATGTAGAGATGAGAGAGTGAACC